TAACTTCCAGTTTAACCTTGGCGGATTTGTACATTCTTCGTGTTATAACGTTACGTAGATTGATTATTGATTTTAATGAAATGTTTTCATATTATAATACTACAAGAATTGTAGTATTTTAATGAGCCTTACTCTTAGTCATTGCTATATTTGTTTTTTTTTCTGTTTCAAAACTGACTAACGCTTTTGCTGAGTTCGTCCAATGTCTGGACTATAGAAGTTTGTCTCTTGTGATTCGGGAGGCGAAAGACAATGGACGGAGAGCTTTAGAAATCCTCAGACATCACTATCAAGGCAGAGAAAAACCTTGCATTATCGTTCTTTACACGGAACTCACTTCGCTGAAGAAAAGTGACGACGAGACTGTCACAGATTATATATTGCGAGCGGAACGATCGGCAACAGCCTTAAGAGAAGCCAAGGAGATAATAAGTGATGCACTACTCATTGCAATGGTTTTAAAGGGTCTGCCAAGCACGTACGACGTCTTTGCTACCGTAACAGTTCAAAGGGAAAGACAAATGACATTTACGGAATTTAAGAACTCGTTACGAAGTCATGAAGAAAATATCAAACCACTGTCACAACAAACTGAGGTAGGTGACAAAGTTATGTTTGTAAAAACCAAAATTTGACGGAAATTGTTTCAAATGTGGAAGAGAGGGACACAAAATCTCACAAAGCCCAGTGAAGGGGAACAAATGGTGCTCCATATGGAAGACCAAGACCCACGACACGAAAGATTGCCGAAAGACGAAAGAAACGTCCAAGTCAGCTAAAGACGGATAGCGCTGTGCCAGTGAATGGCAACACTTCTTTTTATTCGTGTCAAAGGATGAAGAAGAGAACGCTGAAGCAGACGTGAAGGATAAGGATCAAGCGAATTTAACTCTACTGGTGGACACAGGAGCTACAAGCCACATTATTAACGATAAGTCAAAATTTATAGATTTTGATAGTAAATTTGATAGTAAAGCGCATGTTATTGAATTAGCAGATGGCAGTAAAGCCAACGTAGTAGTCGGTAAAGGTACTGCTAAAGTCAAATTAGTTGACTTGCATGGAAATGCGCAGGATGTCTTATTAAGTAATGCCTTATATGTTCCATCTTACGATCAAAATATATTCTCAGTAATCTCAGTAAATGCTGCCGTAGAAAAGGGGGCAAAAGTCAAATTAGATAAGCACGATAAGCATGTACAGTGCCCTGATGGCACAATGTTTGGAATAAGACAAAAAGGCAAACTTTACTATATAAATAGCATATCATCTTCGAATAAAAATGCATGTTCTCTTTACGAGTGGCAAAAGGTTCTAGGTCACTGCAACTACAAGGATGTTAGGAAACTAGAGAAGGTGGTTAAGGGGATGAAAATCACAGACTCTAGGGAAGTTGAGTGTGAGGTTTGTACACAAGGTAAAATGTGTCAAACCAAAAGTAAGCTGGAAGATAAAAAGGCGAGAGGTCCTCTTGAGTTTATTCACACGGATCTTGCAGGTCCTATTGATCCGGAAGAAAGAGAAGTGTTTAGATATGCATTGTCGTTTGTGGATGAGTATTCAGGATTGAATATGGTCTATTTTCTTAAGCATAAAAGCGATACACCACAAGCATTAAAACAGTTTTTAGAAGATGTTGCACCTTACGGAAATGTGAAGCGCATAAGAAGTGATAACGGCTCTGAATTTACAAGCGAGAAATTCAAATCGATTCTTAGAGAAAACAAAATTAGGCACGAAACTAGTGCACCAAATTCGCCACACCAGAACGGCACAGTTGAGAGATCGTGGTTAACTTTATTTAACATGGCTAGGTGTCTATTGCTAGAAGCGGAACTACCAAAATCCATGTGGACATATGCCGTCATGGCATCTGCTTATATTAGGAATCGTTGTTTTAATTCGAGGTTGAACAAAACTCCGTTCGAAGCGTTTACAGGCTCAAAACCAGACTTGAGCAAAATGCACGTTTTTGGTTGTGTTTGTTATGGTTATTCACAAAATTCCAAAAAGTTAGACCCTAGAAGTAAACAAGGTATTTTCGTAGGGTATGATAAAAATTGTCCAGCATATCTACTATACAACCCTGACATTAACAAGGTAGAGCGTGTATGATGCGTTAAGTTCTTCAGAGAGGGTAGCAGGGAACTGCCAGAACTAGATGATGAAGAACTTACACCTCAGATAGCAAAATTGCATGAAAGAAACCCCAAAACAACTAACGAAGACATTAGTACTCCAGAGACATCTAGAAAATCAAGATACCCCACTAGGATAAGAAGTAAGAGTAAATATCTTGACGAGTATATGACAGAAGAAGTTTCAGCGGAGGATACTGTCTCATATACCGTAGACTATTGCTATAGAGTATCCAACATCCCAACAACATATTCCCAAGCAATAAGCTCCAATGAAAAAGTAAAATGGCAAAAATCCATGAATGATGAAATGAAAGCGTTAATTGACAATGATACGTTTGAACTTGTTCCACCCCCAACAAACAGAGACATAGTGGGGGAAAATGGGTATACACCGTAAAAGTAGGGCAACATTTCGTAAAATAGTAGCGAGAGACTTGCCGAGTGAAAATCGAATTCGTGTAATAAAAATTAATGCCTAACATAAAGTTTTGATTAGAGCCATAGAAATAGACAAAAAATATTGTAAAATTGAATTTGTTGTAATGTTTCGTCTTTACTCAAGACATCTTCAGACAAATAATAAATAGGATGTTAAGACAAGATATTACATTTACAAAAAGGTGTTAAATTACTACTAAAGGAGTCGGTGTCAAATGGATTATATGATAAGGAAGTTGGGAAGTAAAATAAAGAGAAATTAAAAGAGGTTAAGTGGAATGGAGTTTCCTTGCACATTAAGTGAAGGCTTGTATTTATTGATTAGAAGGCTCTCATGAATGGAGAGTTCATAAGAACCGTTAGAAGAGGAGATTATTTTAAAGTCGTCGAAGTTGGGGGTGTGTCCAGTTGCGTTAATGTGAGCAAAGATGCTTGATAACGCAGGGTGGGAAACTTGGTTGCCTGTAAGGGGGATATTCCCAAGTGCTCCGAAAATCTGGTGTGTAGATGACGTGTGGTTTGACCCACATACGACGCGATGCAGCTTCGACACTTGAATAAATAGACTACACCAGATCTCAGCGGTTTGGGAATTTTGTCCTTAAAGGGGAAGTAAGAAGAGATACGTTGGGAAGGGCGAAAAAAAAATTTAATAGATATATGTGGGAAGGCTGCAGCACAAAGGCTATTGATTTGTGTACGAATTTGAAGGGAGTGTATGCCGGTGAAAGGAAGACAAAAATAGATGGGCATTTTGTGAGCAGTCAAGACAGGTGGTTTGGAGGTGTTGTTAAGGAAGCGACGTGTGATTTGGTCAATTATACGTGAAGGAAAACCGTTTTTGGTGAGTGACTTTCTGGTAAATTCGAGTTGTGTATGAAAATTTTCGTAAGTAGAACAAAGGTTGAAGATGCGGTGACCACACATGCGGTGACCACACGTCATCTACACACCAGATTTTCGGAGCACTTGGGAATATCCCCCCTTACAGGCAACCAAGTTTCCCACCCTGCGTTATCAAGCATTTTTGCTCACATTAACGCAACTGGACACACCCCCAACTTAAACGACTTTAAAATAATCTCCTCTTCTAACGATTCCTATGAACTCTCCATTCACGCATGAGAGCCTTCTAATCAATAAATACAAACCTTCGCATTAACGTGCAAGGAAGTTCCATTCCACTTAACCTCTTTTGATTTCACTTTATTTTACTTCCTAACTTCCCTATCATATAATCCGTTTGACACGGCCTCCTTTTGTAGTAATTTAACACCTTTTGTAAATATAACATCTTGTCTTAACATCCTATTAATTAATTGTCTGAAGATGTCTTGAGTATAGACAAAACGTCACAATAAATTCAATTTTACAATTTTTAGTCTATTTCTATGGCTCTAATTAAAACTTTATGTTGGGCATTAATTTTTTATTATTTCGTAAAGCACTATTGCTAATGCGCATTTAATATGACAAGTTTTTTAAAATAGTGTTTCGACATCTCATGCCATCTTCAGTATGAGTGAAATAATAAGTGATATGGTTTTATATATTAATAAAATAATATAGATAATATTATAACAAATATTGTATTGAATTTAAAACTTGAACTCAATGTTCTCAACCCTGACCTTGTTGAAGTTATAAATTCAATACAATATTTAGTTTATAATACGTCGGACGCTCCCATTAATTTATCTTATTTCCTTTATTGTTGTAATTTATGTATCATATTACTTTATATAAACCTTGTATCACTTATTATTTCACTCATACTGAAGATGGCATCATGAGATGTCGAAACATGTCTATTTTAAAAAAACTTGTCGTGTATATTAAATGCGCATTAGCAATAGTGCTTTTACGAAATTATCCATGAATATCTTATTTCCTCTACTACCTCGTGACCATGCACATGATGTGTATCGATGTAGAACATTACTATTATATAGTAGAAATTTATTTCTTTTTATTATTATATAAAGATATATGAAAGTTAACAAGTTCATTTTCCAAACTTGATTCGAGCTAGTTCCAAATCTCACCAAAATCAACAAATTTATCTTTATAAAGCATTTACATACGTACATAACGCGGAAGTAGAATATTTTACAGAAAAACAAAATAATCGATAAATGGACATGAAACATTAAATCACAAAATCAAAATACAATATAACAACGAAAGGTAAAGTTTAAAATCAACATACCTTCACAAATTCAGAAAGATTAAAAACGACACAACCAACTACATGATATCTCAGGTGCGGCGTTCTAGTCGATTCTGTGGAAAAATTTAAATGATTTACGTTTCCGGTCACGTGAGATATGTTACCCTACCCAAGGAAAAAGGCTCCTACAATATACCGGAAGAAAAACCTTTCATTTTACCAACCAAACAAATCACTTCATTCGTCTTATGAGACGTGGCTAAAAGCCGGTAAAGTACGGGTACAAAACGTCGGCAGGTAGTCGTGGGAGATACATACGTTGTACTTTGGTCGTTTAACTTATGTTATTGTGTCATTGGTAATATCGATAATATTTTCTCATTTGTGATTTTCTTGCTGTTAATTTTAAAAGATGCCAAGGTACACCAAATAACGGCCTTATAGCTGTTAGACTTTTCAACAGTTATTTTTATTTTATAGATTTTTATGATAATTTTTGTAGGAGCAATAAAAGGTTTAAAGCAACTGTAGCTGTTACATATCATGATGAGGATGGCCATGTTGAGAGAGAGAAGGTGCATTTGTCAGAATTGGTTACTGAGGATCATAGAGGAAGCTGTTCTTTTAACAGTCCTGATATTTGTGGTGCATTGGAAGGCCATGAACTGGGAATGGAACAAGATAACAGTGATCTTGAAAGTGATGTTCACCATGATTGTGAAGAATCATGTTCTTATTACCAGAAAGTTGAAAGAAAACAAAAAGCATGGGAAAATTTGCAACATTCAATTATAAAGAATACATTTCAGTTTGCTGGCAAAAATTGGAGCAATCTGAAGTGTATTTATTGTGATAATGAAGCAAAGTTTAGGTGCAGTGATTGTGGTCCAATGGCGAAGTATTGTGAGAACTATATGTTAAAGATGCACACAACCGTAAATATTTGTCATCATGTTGAAATATTTAAGGTAACCTTTATGAGCTAGATATTATAAAAGTGTTTACAGTTAACTCTCTCAACACTTGCAACAAAAAATGCAAAAATAAAATGAGAGTTTACATTGTGAAACATGCTACGAAGCACTAATCTAATATTTTTTATGAATACAAGAAAGGGGATTGTTTACAACTAATTTCTAAGAGGTTATTCATTGCTTTGTAGGATGGCATGTTTTGGCCATATAAACTCATGAACATGCTGGTGTATGATTTTTCATGCCAAACAGCTCGTCACAAAAGAAGTGTTTCTGTTGTTGATGTTAAAGGGATGTTATATGTGAAGTGTGCTGCAAAAGTTATTTCATTTTAGCTGGGATGGTTAAACACAATCCTAATTTTGGATCTTTTTCAATTTTTAGTCACCTTTTGTACTGTTGAGGTACAGTTTTGCTCATGCTCTCCAGAGTTTGTTCAACTTCTGCAATTTGGCCTTTGGGGTGGAACACCTACAAAACCAAGAATTGCATTTGCAATGGAGTTTTTTGAATTAATTCATTCTGTGCAGATGGAATTCCAGGCATCAATAAAAAGCATTTGTCAGTCATTTGAAGAGTTAATCATAACCACATATTCTCTTCTTATGCAACACCAATAATGTATCCTGTCATTATAGATGCTTTTGAAGAATATAGGTAACTGCATGTAGGTCACTGATTTATTGCACTGCTGTACTATGTATGAATTGCTGGGAAAGTTGCAGTCAATTTTATAGCCTAAGAATCTCATCTTAAGAGATGTATTTAATTGGAGGAAATCAAAATACTAAAGTTGATGATGGGAAAGGATTTTTCCTTAAGTATTACTGTCTTGCACTGTATTTTGTTTACGTCATTTGTTTAAGAGTGCATAATTGCTTTCTTTGTGTCATTGTTTTTTTCAGAATTTGCAGACATAAACTAAACATGTTGAGCTGTGTTATTCCTGAGCTTGATGAAGGAAATATCTGTCCTACTTGTCCCAAAGTGAGTATATTCGTATTACTTGTTTAACAATGACAATTTAGTAAAAATGCTATCAATGACAATGACAATTTAGCAATGCTAAATTGTCATTGATCAATTGTCATTGTTAAATTGTCATTGATGACACTTTAACAATGACAATTTAGCAATGCTATCTCAAACACCTTTTTGACTGCATAATTTGCATCATTGCACTAAAATACATTGCATGATTTTATCCTTCACCATTTTATTGAAGACTGATGGTGTGATCTTTGAGTCTCTTGATGTTCTATTTATTGAATGAAGGAAAAAGCTGGCAGAGTTTTGGAAAACCTCTATTTGGACAGCTGATGTTCTATGATCAGACACATGTTGATCAATTTGTTGCCAATTATACCACACCTACATCAAACAAGGTCAATGTAGCTTTAATATACTTTGTTGTTCTAATGAAAATTCAGGCATGGAAGTTACCGTGCTTTGAATATATTTCATTTTTTTACATTCTCTACCACATAGTTTTTATATTCAATAAATTTGTGCCATGGGCTTTAGGAAACAAAGCTCTTGTATACTTTTTTGTTTCAGCAACTACAACAGAAACGGGCTCGCCCGTTTCTGTTGTAGTTGCTGAAATTGTAATGCAATCTATAGAGGAACGGGCACTCATGACTTACAAACATGCACTACCTTTTTGGTTTCGCTACGTAGATGACACAATCACAGCACTACATGCAGACGAGATTGATGACTTCCATACTCACATCAACAAACAGAACAGCCACATACAATTTACCAAAGATGTCGAAGAAAACGGAACTCTTCCTTTCTCGACTGTTTGGTAAAACATGACAATCAAAAACTAGGAACAACAGTTTATCGCAAGCCAACACATACTGACCGACTACTAGACCAATCATCTTACAACCCTACATCACACAAAGCCACCACAATCAGAACATTAACAAGACGTGCACAAATCATATGTGATTCACCGGACGCTCTACAAAACGAAAACAACTATCTCAAACGTGTTTTGACAAAACAACTATAACTCTGACTTTATCAAACGCAACACTTACAAACCCAACGAACCCAACGAAACGAACAACTCAGTGACAACAGCAACGATACCTTACATCAAAGGTACGTCTGAGACTATCTCGCGTATCTTACGACCATACAACATACGTGTCGCACATAAACCAATCACAACATTACGACAAGTACTAACGAACATAAAGGACAAAGAACAACCCAACGAACGACAAGGTGCAGTTTACAAAATAAACTGCTCCGACTGCCACGCCTCCTATATCGGGGAAACTGGCAGGAACTTAAACATAAGACTTACTGAGCACAAACGAGCTACTAAGAAACAAGACAAAACTAATCACATTGCCGAACATCACCGAATCACAAAGCACAACATTGACTGGGACTCGGCAAAATGCATCACTTACAGTACTATAGACAACGGCTTACATTAGAAAGTTGGTATACCAACTTGGAACAAACCCCCCTGAACAGATCACAGCAATTACCGGCACCTTACAAACGACTTATTCACAATACAAACAAACGATCAACTAAAAACATTACACTTCAAACTAATTCACAATGACAATACACAATTGACACCCACACATTACAACTAAAAACGTCACACCTAAATCACACATCACAACTAAAAATAAAATATTTCACTTCACACTAATCCACAATGACAATACACATTTCCTGCACATTTCCTGTACACACAATACAATGACGTAAGAACCAGACAATAAATACGGCTAACCTGACGTTTACTCCTCATTTGACTCTGAAGATGACTACCGCTAAGGTTGTCGAAACGTCAGTCAACAACATCAAAAACAGTCCTTCTCAGGACTTTATTAACCTGGACGATCATCATTTACAAACATATAACTTTTTTGTTTGTTACATATTGATACTTATAGGAGTGTCATGGTTTTCTTGCTGGGAATGCTGTTCGATCAATGAATTGCTACAGAGCTCTTGATGAAACAGCAATCTTTGGGCGAGGCTGTCGACATGAGTTTCCTAAAAAATTCTTAAATTTGAAGCATGGAGAGAGGTCTGTTACACAAACTTTTCTCTATTTTTACCTAGATGTTCTTGGTTTGAAAGAGGTGGTTGGGATGCATGCATTTGATGGTGTAAATTTATTTTTTTCAATTGGTTTGCTACTTTCAATGCTTTGTGCAAGAGCTGAAGCTTTTTGCATACATGTGGTTGCATTATTTAAAAAAATATTCTACATATTTTATAGATTGAGCTATGCAGTTTATGTTCTCCAAGAATTAGAGAAAGATAATGTTGATAATCCTGCACTCAAAATAAACATATTTTATGATGTTGCATGTATGTTGGTGAAACACTTACAGGTAATATTCAATTGACAATAGTTGCTTTGTTACCTGTTTCCTTTGTCAATAACTTTCCCTCAACACTTTTTTTCTTTGAAAAGGTAGTCTTTCACATGTTTTTCTTTATTTTGTTTTTTACAAAAAGAATTTGGAGGATCTGATTATTGACATTTTTCAATTTTCAATTCCAATTTTTTCACTGCTATGGGCATGTTGGACGATGCCAAGTTAGTTGTTATTATTTTTATTTTTCATACGTATTAACAGATGGTGATACCTATGCTATCATAACTAATGGTATTGTAGATGATAAAATGATAAAAATTCAATAATTGTTTACTAAATCTGTCTTGTAAAAGGTTAAATTTAGTCCCCGTCGTAAAGAAGGATTTGGCTGGCCTAACTGACGGTGAGATGTTGGAGAGATTGTGAGCTTACATTCGTAAATTTAGCAGAATGACTAAAGAAATGCGTCCAAGTCACAGAGTTGATGTACTCAGTGATGCTCTTTTACATTATGGAAAGAAAGCGAAGATTAATTTAGGTATAGCTAGTTTTTCTTTCTTTGTTTGAACATATACATAGCTAACATGTCATCATATTATGTAATAGCAGGTATGAATTAATTTTTGTTTTTTGAGGCATTTTGCTGATGGCAAGGATGAAGCGAGCTGTTGACGTGGAAGAAACTGCAAAATCAGATATTGAAAAGTTATGCAGGTGCTTTTCGTGTGAGTATATGTTTGTTTTTGCTGTGTGATTATATTTGACTCCGATTTTGGATATGAACTATTTACGACTCACATGAAAGCAGTAAATTTTCATTTTTTCATTATCTAAAGATCACAGGATTTCAATAGATGATATTCGTGAGTGGATGAAGGACGAATCGACTTTTTTTGGTCGTGAAGTTGAGACTGGTTAGTAATTGAGAAACAATGGCTTGTAGCTAAGGAACAGATTTGACAGATAATTATTGATGCTCATTATGTGGAAATGTTTTACCCACAGAAAACTTTTTTTAAAAAATATACGTAAATCTTGAACAACTTACAGAAGAAGAAGATTGGAAATGCAAGTACGTTATATACCTGGACTTGTACGCTGATCTTTACCATCGATGGAATGGTTGCATTGATCCAAGTGAACTGACTGTTCCATTTAATCAGATGAAAAAGTATGTTCGAAAAGTTCAACATGTTTCTAGAGATATTAAAGTCTTAAACAGTGTGAATTTAGAAAAATGAAGTGGGAAAATTTTGAAGCTATGAATGTACGTCGTAACATTGTGAATAATAAGTTGGAATATCGAATAAAAAATTATTTCTTGTTTTTATACGTACGTACAAGTAGAGATGTATATGCAATTTGCGGGTGCTTGTCTGACCTTGCCTTATATTTGTTTTTACTGTTTAGTATTGACGAGCAGTTGAAGATCATGGAAAGGGAAAACTCAATTTCTGCACGCAGGCAAAATACTGACTCGGAATACGAAAATTCATAGGCTTGGTAATGTTTTATGTTTATATCAATTGTTACCCATAAAGATTTGTTGGGGATGTTTAGAAAGCAAAGGATAGCAAGGGATTGACTGTGTTTGAAGCTACAAAACAGTGGGCAGGAGACAAGAGGAAGAGAGAGGATAAGGGAGATCCTGGTGTGATTGATGGGTACAAGGGTACGATTACTACAATAGTGATAACTTTTGAAAGATTGTCCTACTATCTCTTATTCTCTGTTATCCTATAGGACCATGGAGTAAGTTTGTTGATGAAGAAACTATTGCTAAACCATCTGAGGTATTTCAATTACCCAAATAAAGAGTTTTATAAAGATATTTTTCAAATCAAACAATTATTTTTCTGGCATTTTACTTTGGTAAATACAGGAAGAGTCAACAATCCTTGAGGAGTATGAATTATCGAAGAAAAACAAATCAAAGAAAGATGATATGAAACCTTCAGAAGAGAAATCCACATTACACAGTAAGTTAAAAATTTCATACTTTCTTGTAGTTTCCTAGACTTTACCAAATGTAATTATTTTTCAGTTAAAGATGCATATGACCATCAAGGAAGATCATATCTTCACATTCCACAACATCTTGGCATTAATCTCAAGTCAGATACTCCTCCAGAACGTTGCTTTCTACCAAAACAACATATTCATACGTGGTATGTAAACAATTCTCCATTTAGTTCATTTATTGTAAAACAAAAACGGAAGAAATACATGAAAGTTTACTTACTAAAATGCAATTGAAAACGCCATGGAACGTCAGACTTAGAGTCATCAATATGCTTTAAATTTTGTAGATTTTAAGGAAAACACGCAATAATTGAATTAAGTTTAAAGACAGTTTATGATGTAATTCTTGATGGTATTGAGGAAGTTCAATTATACATTACAGTATTCATTAGAGAAAGCGTCTCATCCAAATAAAAACTTAAAATATGAGCGTTTTTTTAATACGATGCTTCTGTTTGAGTCGAGACGTTTAGGTGATCATTTGATATGTTTATAAAATCTTATTTATCAGTGTATTATTTATTATAAAGTAATGATTTGTTCTAGTACTACGTACGTATGTTTGTAGATATTGTATTGGACTTCCTTAGCACTTGTTTTAAGAAACACGGCTAACCTGACATTTACTTATCATTTGACTCTGAAGATGACTACTGCTAAGGTTGTCGAAACGTCAGTCAACATCAACACCAACAGTCCTTCACCGGACTCTACTAACCTCGACAAAAACTTAACGATACTTCCTGATGCAAATATTCACTTTATACAGCACTTTTTAATTACATTTAAGTATTTGTTTTCCTGTAGTTCATCCTTCTACCGTCGTGATAAATGAAAGCAATGGAGATATTCTTACTTATGTGTTATTGTATTATTTTATCTTTCTCTTCGGTCTGGTCACACTAAAGGTGTTTCTGCAATAAGATTCTTTCCGAAATCTGCTCATCTTCTTCTGTCGTGTAGCATGGATTGTAAAATTAAGGTAAAAAGTCATTTTCTCTGTCTTACATGTCTTGTTCAAGTGGTTTAGTCAACGCAGGGAGTGCACAAATTTTCATTTTTAACTTAAATTTTATTCATATAGTTGAAACCAATTTTTCCTTCACATGCATGATCGTTCATTTGTAATGATTGATTTCTTTTATGAACACATCAATACTTTTTCTTTTCATGATAAATTTTTATTTCATTTTTTAGCTATGGGAGGTTTACAATAACAGAAGAATTGTGCGAACATTTAACGGTGAGTTTGGATATAATTTCTTGATTTTTTAAATTCAAGTGAAAAGACAAAGATGGGAATTTATTCGTCTCCTGTCAAAGTTATGTTGATGTTTTGCTTTTCTTATAACAGTGATTTATGATTTTGATCCATACATAAAAAACCATTTCTGTTTTATTGTATCGTTTTCTAGGCCACAATAAAGCTGTTCGTGATATATGCTTCAACAACGATGGAACTTCATTTTTAAGTGCAGCTTACGACAGATACTGTAAAATGTGGGATACGGAAGCAGGTTTGTTTTATTTTTCTTTTTTTGTTGTTGTGTATGTGTTCATGTTTAAGAAAATACTGAATTTTCTCGTTATTTTTACGTCCAGGTCAATGTTTAGGAAGATTCACGAACAGGAAGGTGCCATATTGTGTGAAGTTCAGTCCAGATGAAGTACGTACGTCATTTTTATAGCTCAGCTTGTAAATATTTGTAAATATTGTTTGCGTAACGGAAGAAGCATAAATTTTCATTTCAAATCAAACATTGACAATAATGTCGTGTTTAATGTCTGACAAGAAAATATTGACGGTATTTTGATATCAATGATATTTTATTGATTTTATGAATAACATTTATATGAATGAAATTTCATCGAAATAAAATATCGTTTTTTAGTGGGATACAAGATCTAATGAAATTATTCAAGAATATGACAGGTATTATCGCCATATTATATAATACTAATACTATGGTGTACAAATGCATCAAGGTTCCTACTCCTAGATGGGGGAGGGGGCAGGTCTTTCCTTAGTTTCAACCTCCAGATGGTTAAGGGGGGAGGTCTTTCCTGAGGCTCAACCTCCAGATGGGTGAGGGGGAGGTCTTTCCTGAGCCTCAACCTCCAGATGGGGAAGCAAATCCACGTTTAAGGTCTTTGTTTGAGAGAGCATCTAAACTAGTTCATTAAACTGAACAACTCTTTGTGCCTTCAGTTGCGAATGTTTAAGATTGTAACGTCATAGGTTCCAGGATCATGACGTCATAGGCTCCAGGATCATGACGTCATAGGTTGTTAAGATATAGGTTCTGAGCGAAAGCTTAATCATTGTGTTGCTTTGATTATATCTGCTAACCTTAAGTAAAATTAATTTAGATCGTGAGGACCTGGCAAAGAAGTGAGTTTATGTATTTACATTTGGTATACTGTTAAACAGAAGAGTAAAACATACTCTAAACATACTGTTAAACATACTCCGTCATTATTTACTAGATCGAATAAAAATTATTTACATATAATCTATACGATTCCGACTCACGTATCTATCGGACTGCTAACCTGAACTTACTTATCCACTTACTTATGTATTATTGTAATATTTTATCTTTCTCTTAGGTCTGGTCACATTAAAGGTGTTTCTGCAATAAGATTCTTTCCGAAATCTGCTCATCTTCTGTCGTGTAGCATGGATTGTAAAATTAAAGTAAAAAATCATTTTCTCTGTCTTACATGTCGTTGCTTATTTTGAGTTTGGTTGTATATCGTTGAATGTTCCTCCAACATTACTGGAGGTGAGAATTTTTAATAAATTACCATCACGACAAGCAATACATTTGAAACAATCAATTTCCTTTCAGAAACTGCAAGATGATATTCATGTAAGCGCCAACGGCTCTGTTTTTGTAAAATCTAACATACGACGAGGAGTTTTACCCAGGTAATGTGGGATATTTCACATTCATTTGGTTACAGGTCACATTTTTATTGATTCAAAAGATTGTTGAAAAAATAACATTTGCATTTTGTTGTATATTTTGCAAGACTTTTTTGTCATTTGATGTACATAGCGTTCCTTCTTTGTCATTCGATGTACATAGCGTTTCTTCTTTGTCATTCGATGTACATAGTGTTTCTTTGTCATTTCTTTCATTGATTAGCGTTCCTTCTTTGTCACATAGTTCCTTCTTTGTCATTCGATGTACATTCTTCTTTGTCATTCGATGTACAGCGTTCCTTCTTTGTCATTCGATGCGTTTTTGTCATTCGATGTGTTCATCTTTCTTCTTCTTTGTCATTCGATGTACATAGCGTTCCTTCTTTGTCATTCGATGTACATAGCGTTCCTTCTTTGTCATTCGATGTATAGCGTTTCTTCTTTGTCATTCGATGTACATAGCGTTTCTTCTTTGTCATTCGATGTACATAGCGTTCCTTCTTTGTCATTCGATGTACATAGTTTCTTCTTTGTCATTCGATGTACATAGCGTTCCTTCTTTGTCATTCGATGTACATAGCGTTCCTTCTTTGTCATTCGATGTACATAGCGTTCCTTCTTTGTCATTCGATGTACATAGCGTTCCTTCTTTGTCATTCGATGTACATAGTGTTTCTTTTTGTCATTCGATGTACATAGCGTTCCTTCTTTGTCATTCGATGTACATAGCGTTCCTTCTTTGTCATTCGATGTACATAGCGTTCCTTCTTTGTCATTCGATGTACATAGTGTTTCTTCTTTGTCATTCGATGTACATAGCGTTCCTTCTTTGTCATTCGATGTACATAGCGTTCCTTCTTTGTCATTCGATGTACATAGCGTTCCTTCTTTGTCATTCGATGTACATAGCGTTCCTTCTTTGTCATTCGATGTACATAGCGTTCCTTCTTAAGTCTTTACTCTCCTAAATGGGTCTTGATATCTTTGGCTGTTATATGTTCAACAACTTTGATTTGTTTTAGAATGTTAGAGGAGATATTAGACACACGTATTATGGTAAAGAAAGCTATGAAAGATTGTAAAGATGATAAAGTAAGTTGGTTTTATTAAACATTTGTTTTTGAAGCAATCTTTGATGTTTTTATAAGATCCAGTAGCTAAAACGTCATGGAGTTTTCATCATGTTCAAAAAAGATGCCTTTCCACTCTTCGTTTGTTTTCTTTAATCATTCAATATCATAAATAATTTACATTTTAGACTCTTCTTCAACTTCTTGGTGCTCGACAACTTGCTTTAAAGTTGATTACAAATGTCACTTATGGTTACACATCAGCAAACGTCTAGGGGCGAAGGCCTTGTGTTGAGGTAACTTTGATCTTGTCATGATAGAAATTTAAACAAACGATAGCTCTCCTCATTCCATCTAAACAGACCTTGCGCCGTAAACTTTGTATTCATGATAGAAATTTAAACAAACGATAACTCTCCCCATTCCATCTAAACAGACCGTGCCGTAAACTTTGTATTCATGATAGAAATTTAAACAAACGATAGCTCTCCCATTCCATCTAAACAGACCGTGTGCCGTAAACTTTGTATTCATGATAGAAATTTAAACAAACGATAGCTCTCCCATTCCATCTAAACAGACCTGCGCCGTAAACTTTGTATTCATGATAGAAATTTAAACAAACGATAACTCTCCCCATTCCATCTAAACAGACCGTGTGCCGTAAACTTTGTATTCATGATAGAAATTTAAACAAACGATAGCTCTCCCCATTCCATCTAAACAGACCGTGTGCCGTAAACTTTGTATTCATGATAGAAATTTAAACAAACGATAACTCTCCCATTCCATCTAAACAGACCTTGTGCCGTAAACTTTGTATTCATGATAGAAATTTAAACAAACGATAACTCTCCCATTCCATCTAAACAGACCTTGTGCCGTAAACTTTGTATTCATGATAG